GAGCCACAAGTTACATTTAGCTGGTGTTTACTGAGTTATTTCCGTCAGTTGACGGAATCATTGATCACTGAATTGCCGGAATGGTGAAGGAACACGAAAGACGCGTCTCGCTCTTGACTGCGAGGTAAATTCTGTCGGAATTCTCGCACCTTGTCACGTTCGTCGCGCCTGACAATGTGAATCATCCCCAACCGAATCGTCTTCAACGAGGATGTAACTCTCACAAGGGAGAATTCGACGCCCTCGTTGATCCCGCGTTTTTCTCTCTCTATCTCTCCATTCCACGGTTTAACACAGAGTCCTTTGAACATTTTCCCTCAAAAAACAGCGCGATGCGAGCACGCGCGCACTTCCTCTTATATATATTATCTTATTTATAATTAAACACTGTTATTACAATAATATATATATATGTTTACTTTGTACTATATATGATCTTAAACCGACGACCGAGGAGGCCGCTCGCGTCTCTCTTGGTACCGTGGATTAATTCTTCGCGTCGGAAGGGACGCTCGCATCCTTTCGCCCAATCAGGAATCAACACAGGCTCCTTTCGAGGCGAATGCGAGCCTTTCCTTTGCCGCGTCGAGCCGACTGCCGATTCGCCATTGGGTTTTTCAAATCCAAAGCACGGAGCACTCAAGTCTCCAAAACAAGTCTCAGAATTGTGATGCTCGCTTTGAATGACTGTTTATTTGAGACGTCGTATGTGATAAATTAATAATAAATAATCAGAGTAGCGTCGAGATGCTAATTAACGTGCAACGTTAAAGGGGGAAACGTGTATCGGTGTGTAACTCGGATTCCTTAGAGAGGAGATTGTTGCTGTTGTTGCTGTTGTTGCTGCTGTTGCACGAAAGCGGTAACATACCTCGAGTCGCCATGCACACTAAGGGGATTCGATATAACTTTACAAAATATTACACAATAAATTACATGCTCTCTCTCTTTCTCTCTCGCTCTCTCTCTCACGCTCTCTCTCTCTCTCGATGATGTAACTGTTGTAGCTTTTGAAAGCTATTTCCAAACGCATCCGTTCTATCCTAAAATATAATAAATTAAGTAACATGTTGTAGGTAACTTCGCCGAACGAACATCGAACGGGCGTTCGCGTGCAAGAAGGAGATGTTCCACTCGCGAGACGAATGATCGCACATCCTATGAACTCGCACGTCGATCGACCGATTTTTCGTGCTTCTCGAGAAGACTGATCTCAGCGTATCGAGAGTTCGTCGCTTTTTAAAAAATTTCGATTAGTTTGTCATTGCAAATGCATATATTTTATGTATTTATTCGTTCTGTTTGTCCAATCTAGAAATAATCAAAATACAGTGACTGCCAAAAGTTTTCGGCCAATGTAATTTTACGACAATCTATTTTTCGGTTTATATTATGAGTTAATAAAATTCTTGTTTCAAGAACACGATATTTTAAATATTAGAATATATTAAATACTTGCGTACTAGATTTTTATTTGTAAATATTGTTTATCGGAGCACAATGTGATAAAATTATTCGTTGACTGGAAAGTGGCAGCCACTTTTGGCAGCTACTTATATATATTTCTTCCATTCTTTTTTTCTCAATGGTACAAGTTTTCTATGGTCTTTGGATTACAAGCATCCGAAGAAATTATAAAAAAAACTTTTAATCATTATTGAATCGATAAAGCACGTGTAGTAAATTTATTTTCGTAATCAGTTTCGTCCCTCGATACTCCTGGATCGCTTTGTCAATTCCTGATTGAATCTCAGTGTTCACTCGCGATTCATTCTGTATGATTAATCCGACTAGCATAAATGATCCTCTCCCGATCGCACAAAAAAGTAGAAGAGCATGATATAAAATGTCGTTCCAACGAAATCTTGTAGAACCGATCGCTCGCCACATCTCGCGACGTCGTGTACTTGTATGTGTGTTTGTGCAGTGTGTGTGTGTGTGTGTGTGTGTGTGATGTGTTTGTGTGTTGAAGCACAAAAGAATTCTCGCTACGCAGGAGCCACAGACGCGAAGTGCAAGTCGGCTAGAATGCACTTTTCTGCAATCAAACGTCACACCGATTCGTTCTCGCCCGGCTTAGCGAACGCCGCCCCGCCGCTTACGTAATAAAAGTGTGTACGTGTCTGTATGTCTATCTGCATACGTACGTGTGTGTTATTTTTCTTCCTTTTTTTTTTTAAGTATGTACAATAGCACAGCACAATTGCAGTACGATATCGAGTGCGGCTCGCTAAAGTCTCTCTCTCTCGCTCTTTTTCTCGCTGCTTTCTCTCTCTCTCTCTCTCTCTCTTCTCACAGGCTCTCACTCATTCTTTCTGTCTCTGTCTCTCGTACACAACGGTGCAGCCACCCATTTTAAAAATTGCTCTCTCTCTCTCTTTCTCTCTCTATCTACCCCTCTGTTCTTTCCTTTCCCCACTAAACCTCCCTCCCGCCATCGGTTCGCACAAAAGAGTGTCCACTCTCTGATATACATGTTTATACATACATATATATATCACTTGGCACGTGTACCCTCACACGAAGCCACTTTGAAAATTGGTTCACGTTTCGTCTGACCAACGAGGACACGACGAGCCCGGTCGCGCATTTAGCGCGCCGCTGATTGCGCGATCATCATCGAACCTCACCGCTAACTCTTTACGTGAAAAAAAACGCCGTTCGATCCTTCAAGGAGATTCGGTTTGTTTTTAGCGATACGTGCGTGCGGAGTGCGCAAGAAAGTCGCGCTGTTCCTCTTGATCGCGCTGCGCTCCACCTCTAATAAACTGAGATAGAAATATGGTTTTACAATTTCAAATTAAATTATCGACAATATGTCCGATGTTGAAGGTTTCGATTCGAACCACTAAGCAGAACAACGAGCCACAATGATGTCAAAATGACATTGAAATGAATTATTACTGAAAAGTGACTTTTAATGGTCAGTTTGGAGTCATTTCGATGTCATTTTTATGTCAAGTTGACTGATTGAAAAGTGACTTTTAGTAGTCCTGTTTTAGGAGCCCTTTTGATGTTATTTTGATGTGTTCTACTTGAAACTGAAGAAGAGGCGAGCTCGAGTGCGTCTCGAGAAATCCGCGAGAGGAAGCGCGCGACTTTAAATACACCCCGTGTAGTATCGGAAATCGCCGGTCATTTATGAACCAGCGAACGAAATAAAATGTACTTAATCTTAAACAAAAGCGTTAACGCACACAGTAGGATTCAATCGCTGGTGCCCAAGTCGCTGCTTTAGCTCGTGACGTATCTCGATCGGGCATCCGGAGACCCTTCTCGAACTTTCGCACTTTACCGTGCGGCAAGGGGCAGGGCTAGTCTCGAGGATTAAGAAAAAGTGGAAAACGAGCTTTTCTAAGTATTTACTCGCCCCCGATTGTCAGAGCGCCCTTTCGTGCAGTTTTACTCGACATTCGCCCTCGCGATATCCCACTTAAAAGCAGCGACCGATTCTACTCTTAAAAAGAGAAAGAAAACAAGGTAACAGGCTAGACTAAACGCCCCGTTTCGGGGGGTGGCAAATAAATTCGACTTCAGCCGCGCGCGACCTCGCGAAAGGAAGAAGAAAATAAAGAAAAACACGAGCGCTTTCGATCACCCTCGCACTTCCGGCGCCGAGGAGTGGATTCAGAATTCGAGGTTCTGAATTTTGACTAGAGATGAGGAACCGCCTTGGTCCCCAGTTTGACGGGGCAGGCAGTCCCTCTTGGAACTTATTACAGTGGACTAGAACGCTTAGAATCGGACACGAAGCGCCGAGTTTAACGGATTTAACTTACGCTAATATGGCAAACTATGGCACGAAGTTTGCGAAGTGACCGAAGTCGAGATACGCGACGAGTCGTTAAAATGCGAGTCTTAAAACTAAGTTCAACAGAGCTCGTCGCGAGAAAGACGGCCCGCTTAATGTGAGAGACAAATTGTGTGTGTGAGAATAATAAATATATAAATACGAAGAACTCTCGTGTGAAAAATTAAGTAGAAATTATTGCATGTAATCGATATCCTCCAGCTCGTTTACTCGGACATCGAATCGTCTCGTTTCTCGACTTCGAACGTCGATTTAGGAGATTTAACGTGAAACGATCTGTCGATTATAAATACTCGGGAATGCACTAGCCTAAAAAAAAAACAGAAATGTAAGATCGTACTTCGATAGATCTGATTCGGATCGCTTTGCGGGAGTCGTAATGATCGATCGCATTCAGCGGTTAGGACGCTCCTGCTCGACACAGCTCGATCTTAAAAGACAATCGTCGACACGCTTAGCATATATACGTAAAACGGTGATATTATATATCAATTTTTCTAATTTCTAGGAAGAGATGTTCTGGGAACGTTCAGAGAACATTCTCTGGACATTTTTAGGACGACCTTGGAGGTCTGTGTTATATGGTAAATATTTAAAATACTTTGAGTTTAACGTTGCTCCAAGTGCATTGTTTATCAATGGCTAAAACTCACACATTGTACTTTATTCGAAAAACATTTTGAGAATATTCTCTGAACGTCTTTAAGACGTCCTTCAGAGATCTGTGCTGTATGGGTAAATATTTAAAATTTTTCGAGTTTAAATTTGGCTTTGCTCCAAGTTGATCGTTTATCAATGGCCAAAATTATAATTTCTCAGGTATTTGCGAAGGACGTATATTCACACAGTATACCTTATTCAGGTGTCGTTCTGAGAATATTCTCTGAACATCTTTAAAACGTCCATTGGAAATATGTGTTGTATGGGTAAATATTTAAAATTCTCCGAGTTTAAATTTCGTTTTGCTTCAAGTGGATTGTTTATCAATGGCCAAACGTCAAAAATTATATTTTCTCAAATATTTTTGAAGGACGTCTAAATATTTAAAATTCTCCGAGTTTAAATTTTATTTGGCTTCAAATTGACCATTGTCTATCAACGGCCAAATATCAAAAAGCTTAATAAAGACTTTCGTTTATTTATTCATCGAATAAATAAGATAATTCTGGCGATTTTTGTTGAGTTAGTTTGAAATAGCCAATTATCAGCAATATTCCCGAGATATTAGAAAGATAGACATGACTTATGAAGACCAGTATAAAATTTGCGAGGCGTGTCGCGCGGTCGTTTATAAGGCTCGAGCGTGTCAGCAGGGATACGTCCACGAGGTGATACGCCGCCCTTACGAGAAGGGCAGCTCCTCGTCGGGTGACTCGTCATGGTACTCCTCGTGGTCGGACGTGTGTCACAAAACGTCGCTCGGTTGGCGCTGGCCGATCCCTATCGTGGGCGACAACTGTTCCTCCTCGACCGCGACCGCCTTCGGATCCTCGTCCTTCCATTTGTCCATGGAGCGGCGTCGGGCGTTCATGAAGAAGTTCCCGACCGTCGTCGGTTCCAGGCCCAATTGCCTCGCGATTGTCACCTGCATCTCCTTCGACGGCCTTTTGGTCTCCTGTGAAGAAAAAAGATCTGTATATATTCTGCATACATCAAGATCTTTGTTTTGATACGAATTATTTTTAGCTTCACTTATTGCATTCCATATTATTATTTAGTTATTATTTTACAAATCCCGCTTATTCACAAAAATTGTACTTGATTCATAATGCAGTTGTTCATGCAATTCGCGGATTTTAATTATAATGGATAAATATTGCTTTTGGTATTTTTGAATTTTACATTGAGGATTCTGAGCTCATTGTTGAATCTTATTATTACATCGAACGGGATCAAAGCTTAATGCAATACATTATCATTTTATTCGGTTATCAATGAGTAAAAAATTGTAATTTAACTTTTAACAATCGATGAAATGTATCTGATAATGGCATAATACAGTTACTTTAGAACGCTATATATTGAATTTATACATTTCCCTGTTTGATTTATACATTTCTGAAGTTTGCGAATGAAACGAGATTTTTAGAAAATGTATAAAATATGCGAGGAAAGGGATTTAATAAAATTATGTTAAATATCACTTAATGGTTTTAATATTATCATATACGATGTGTCTGTATATAGTAAAGATAGTAAGATATTCTATTGATTCAATTGCTGCTGAATTAATCTATTCGTCTCTATGAAAGATCCACATTCAGATTCAGATTCCAAGGTATAATATACTCGCAGAAGCCCCTGTGTGCTAATTTCGACTGTGTACGTGAAAGTATTGGCTAGCAATAATTGTTACTCCGGCAATCGATACACTCTACCTCAGTAGAGTCACGTTATTGATCGCGCCGTGTTGGGTAAGAAACATCGCGTGGGAAGAAAACGTGGTAGCCCATTTACCACAGGGAACTGTTTATCGTTCACCAATATACTACCGAACATGTGGTGGATTATCGTTGAACATGTCGTAAATAATTTTTGGAATATTTCTTTCGGTCGCATTTCATAGAAAAAAAAAGTAAAAATTTGTTATACACGCAAACAATTAATTTACACCGTATGAATACGTAATATTTAAAGAAACATTTAGAGAGTATTAAAGTAGACGGACTTTTTTCAAAAATAGCTAAACAAATACGGATTAAGGATGTACCAGGTGTATAGTCTCAGTAAAAAATGACTGGAATTGAAAATTTAGACTTTCCGTAGATACAAAAATAAAATGCACAAGTAGTTCAATAAAGTCAATATTTATATATAACAATACAATTTTAATTTAAATGAAAACTTTCTCGTTTTACCTTAATTATTTTTAAAATGTATGTCTACTTTTTATTAAATTAATTTTTGAAATAATTTTTGAAAATAATTACGCGACAATATTAAACATGGTGAGCAATATTGAAAAAAGTTTTAATATTGCAGCAACCAGTTTGAGTGTTTTACATAATCATTTTAATGATCCAACAAAATTATATTCAAATCTACCATATATAGTTATACTTCGAGACAAAATCGTCTTTCCTGTACAGAAAAATTTATAATTGTTTTCATTTTGTTAAAAAGTACGAGTAATACATCCTCAAGGAAAGAAGAACATATATTTGAACAAACGAATTAAGCGAATTTCATCGAATTAATTAGGACCCAAAATCGCACTTTGGGTAGAATTTCGTAAAACATAAAAATCGGAAGCTTTTGCATAAAATCGCGTAACGTTTGGCATCTTGTATATCGAGGAAAAAGAGATATCTACACGATTTTCTTGCCGTCACTTTCGAAGGGCCTTCTCCCTCGACCAGCCAGCTAGGCAGGCTGGTAGGCAGGCAGGCGGCGGTGACGTGACGTATGTATACGCGTACGTACGTTCACGCGAAGCTTGAAACATACACGGGGCCGTGTGCGCGGCACAGTGGCTGTCAAGGAATAATCACGATGCCTCGTCGCGATAGTGTCCCGCATTTCCAACAATTGATGCCGCCGTTCTATGCGCGACGCGGCGCGACGGGCACCGCCTTCGTATTTTGCGGCCGCGGGCGCGCCGCACACACGTAAAGCCCCGTGAAGTGCCGGCCGCGGATATGCGCGTATCAATAGCGACGGCTATGTGCCTTAAACGAAGTCCGGCGTGTTCCGGCGCGAGTTAAGCGAAATTAACGTCCACCGAGTTAATTAAAGTACGCCTGTCGCACGCTCAGCGGCGACGGCGGCCGCCACCGTCGTCGTTTGAAAATCGAAACCTCCCCCCGGCCGTCGATCCCCCTCGCCCGTCACCGCGAATTAAATTATTAATTAATTTCGGGGATATTTAACGCGGCCTGAAAGCGCGCGGCTTGGTCAGCGCGACCCTTGAATTTGGAATTATTTAATCCTCTCGGGACTCGCGGCTATCTGACCGGAATTCGTGCCGGTTAGCTGGAACAGGTACGCGTGTGTCTGTGAAAATTTTATTATTAAATTTCAGTAACTCCTTCCTGTCCATAGTTGTCCATATAATCCTGTCCATATAATCGATAAGAGGTGTAACAAAAATTATCCGGAAGAGAAAACGAGAGAAAGAGAGAGAAAAATAACTGCAATTTGTCGTCGATTAAAAATGAAAACTAGAAATTGTTTTTTCATTTATTCTATAATCTGAATATTTCATCCCATACGTAAATGCATTTTTATCAGCGATTAAAGTCTTAATTCGACTTTGCAATATTATTAAATTTCAGTAATTTCTTCCTGTCTATATTGCTGCATAATCGATAAGAGGTGTAACAAAAATTATTCGGAAAGAGAGAACGAGAGAAAGAGGGAGAGAGAGAGAGAAATAACTGCAATTTAGAGAAATAACGTCAATTAGAAATGAAGACTAGAAATTGGTTTTTCACTATTCTATGATCTCTATTTTTGATCCTAAGTGTCTTTTTATCAGCAAAATTTGAATTCGAATTCCTTTTCTATCTATAGCTGTATAATCAATAAGATATGTAACAAAAATTATTCGGTAATAGACAAAATTAATATGAATGACTAGGAAATACCCTATTTTATTATTTATTTTATTAATAAGAGATTGGCCCATCATTTTCTTTTAATACATATTCTAACTTTGTTTGAGAATCACATAATGCTTGAAGAGTTACCAATAGAACGTTGTGTTATTCTTTAGCAGAGCATCTTTCAATTGCTCATATAAATAGTTTTAGAAGAGGAAATTTGCTTCTCACTCTATTTTCCAAAATTGTCTTCTGTACTTCGAACTTCAATACTTTTCCTGGCCAATGTAATCGCTTGATTTAAATATCATTTGTAGATTTGAAGAGCGGAATGAGAAACAGATTTCCTCTTCAAATATTTTAAATAACTGAAAGATGTTCTGTTAGAAGAATGATGTAACATTGTACCATACACTGTAATTGCTATATTATTCAAGCATGTATGTCATTATTCCAACAACAATAAAATCTGTATATTAAAGATAAGCACTAGTCAATTTTTTATTAATAAAACAAGTAGATTTCTTCGGTGTTCACATTATTTTGTCGCCTGTATCCGGGAAAAAAATGTTATATATATGGACATATTTTATATATAATTATATATAATTGTATGTAAAATATGTTAATTTTTTATTATAATAATTATATATTATACAATTGTATATGAAACATTTTTTCTCGGGGTAACTGCAATCTCATATCGATTAGAAATAATTTTTTCATCTATTTTATACTATATTTGATTTTATAAATTCCTTTTCATCGATAATCAAAATCTTAATTCGACTTTGAGTCTTCTGAACTCATTATGAATGTCTATATTGGTCGAACTATTAAAAAAAGTTGCATAAGAAATTTGATCAAAATTTAGCTAGAATTTGCGAATACTGTACGCATCTTACAGAGAGTGCTGAAAGAGCCTCGGTTATTTTTTTTCAAATCGGGTTAAAATTTCAATGTGAAAGGCACGTTGCGTCCCGCCTCGCGCTCCAGTCTCGAGTCCTCCAGTGCCGTTTCCAATGAAACGGAATATCAATTATCCTCGCAATTACAGCAATTAATACTCATCCGGATAGAGGCCGAGTCGCGCCGTAAAGGCGATGTGAGAGTTACTTTGAGAGTAATCGGGAGGGAGAGGGAGAGGGGAAGTGTGCTTCATACGTCCGGGAGCAAATAAAAGTCTCATCCGGAATCTCTGCGCCGCGGCCCATTATACGCAGCATCGGCCCTTGGAGTGTTTTTATTATAAAGGGCGCGTATTAATTATCTCTGCAATTAAAGCAATTAATAGCGATCGCCCGCAGGATCGCCGTGCACGCCGCGCGTCTACGCGTTGCGTAAAGACTCGGGCGCCGCGTTTAAACGGGCTTCCCTCTTGAAAGGGGTGGACGCGGGCATTCTCTTTTCGAGGGGAGAAATTTTATTTCTCCGACATATTCCCGGGTAGCCGCGTTAAACTCGTCCTTTTTTCTATTTGCTTATTAAAGGAAGTACGATCACCCCCTGCGAATCGCCCCATTATATCTCGAAACGCGATTCATTTAATGCGAGAGAAATATATCCTTCGGTATTAATCCCCCATTTTTTCGAACATCGTATTAACATTATTTCCGCGTGTACAGGCAGCGTAGAATATCTCGGTTTACATCAACGCGAACTTTCATCTGACTTGCGATATATCCAGCGTTTCTCTTATCAAATATTCTAAGGCACTCACGAAAACCGAATGCCGACGGATCAAGAAATTCCCGCGTGATAATCCGATATAATCGCGCGCGGAACAATCGGGGAAAGATTGCGCGCTGGAATGCGTAAAGTGGGCTAAGGTCGATTCGCGAACTATTTGGCGTTCATCCAGAAAGAGGGATGAGAATGAGGGTGAAAGAGACTTGAGGTGCGGACTCTTTTTTTTTATTTTTATTTCCTCGTGCCTTTCGTGTCCCGCGATCACACGCGAAGCGCGATCGCGATGCGATAAAAGGCCTGTGGACGTCATTAGCACAGTATAAGCAGGAACAGTAGACTCATTCTGTGTCGGCACCTTTGGTCTGAATGTTAAACGACCGCCATG